CAATTTATAATACCAATATAAGAAAAAACAAAATGTATAGTTTGATAGAGAAAAATATACATAAAGTGCCAAAATAAAGTTCTGATATCACAAAACAGAATGTTCCAGAGTGCTTAAAGTGGAAGACAGAGTAGTAGTAATAATACTAATGGCTAACATGACTGCTTTCTCTATACCAACCACTAAGCATTTTATATGCATCATTTAATCTTCCTAAGAACCCACATTTTACAGATGAAGAAATTAAAATGTAAGAGAGCATAAGTAATTTGATACCACTAGTCAGTGGCAGAACCAAAACTCTAATCCAAGACCCTTCGACTCCTAAGCACTATGATAAATTATCACAAAGACGAGTTAAAAGAAGTGTGGAAAAATAACCCGATGAACTTTCCCACCAATAACCTTAAAACGTTTAAAAGAAAAACAAACTAAAGTGTAAATATGCTTAAATCTTCTGTCAGTAGTTTGAAGGCTGGCGGTCAAAACACGATCTCATGGGAGATATCAGAATCAGAAAGGGTTTGCTCTTAATGAAGAAGACTTCAGCATGGAGTAATCAAAAAGAGCTGAGAAGATCTCTGACCAAAAAAATAGTTAGTTCACATGTATTCTTCCCAAAAAAAGCAAATAGAATTTATTTGACTAAAATGCTATAAAATAGGGAGAAAAAATTACACTCAGTAATCCAAATACTGCTAACATAGTTAATAGAGTGGTATTTAGGGGCAATCGAGATATAAATTTAAGGAATATTAAAGGCAGGAGTTATTAAAACTTCTAGTGGCCTGTGCTTATTAGTTCTGGCTGCCATAAGGCCATAAAATTAGATTCTGTGTCGATTATAAAAAATAATCTACTAACTCATAATGTTCCTTTGCTTAAAACTGAAACAGTATTACTGAAATTTGAAACTGTTAAGATCATCTCAACTAACAATTTGCTTAGGTTCCAACAAATAATATTAGGAGAAAACTAGACAGACACATCAGTTGGAGTTCCCTGCAATAGAAGCAACAGGAAAACCAGGCTGAGACCAAAGCAGGTCTGTAGAGGCAGGAGGGTCTACAGATCAGGACACAGGCATTAGAATGAATGAACACTAACTGGTTTGAGTCTTTTTATCCCACGACTCAAGATTCAGATTCCAAAAAGGGAGCAACCAATTGGCCCAGCTTGCATCATCAGCTCTACTCATGGCCAGCAGAGAAGAAAGCCCCTGAAGAGTCCCACCTAGTTATATCTACTGGGGAAGAAGAAATTCCTCAAAAGGTGATGTTTGGAAGGGGAAACAAATGCTAAACAGAAAACAGTAGTGTGTACCTCTGCCCTGGTAACGCTTAGCATGTGGAGGGAGTAATCTTGCCTCTTCCCAGTGAGAAGTCCCATCTGCAAAGAAGCTGAATGTTCAGCTGGTGGACTCTAAAGTTTACATTAAGAGCAATGATCATTAAGTCACATGATTATTTCTGTATTTGATCAGAAGTAGACGACCAGGGACACCTTAGATGGTTCTAGGTGTAATCCATTAAAATAAATCTGAGGTATAATGTGTAGAAGGCCAATATGGTCTTCTAGAAATCAAATAACCAAGACAGGAAAACAGGAAAAATAAATCCCCATAATCAAGAAGAAAGTCAGTCATCTCACTTGGAAAGCTAACAGTTTATAATAAAAGTTGTATCCCTCATTTATGGCAACAAGTTGTCCACCGTTAATTGATTTGTAATAACACAGACACCTGATGAGATTTCTACAAGATCAGGAAACTTTTGAAAACCTACAACAGGGTATGAATTATTTAAGAGTTCTGAAAAGACCCAGGCTTTTCAAAGCATTTTATGGTATCAGGTGACTTATAACTTACTGATTTGGGGATAATTTTATTACAAGATCATGATAATGTAAAACATTCTGTAATATAAAATGATTGCCAAGGGAAAGAAATTTATTTGTCTTCTTTAAGGAAAGTTTGGCAACTATTTGAGCCATAATATCCTTGTTTATGAGAGTACCCTGAAGACTAATCATTAAGCCTTAACTCTTGGATAAAAAACTACCACTGAGGAGTAGAGGTGGTTATAGAAAATTTCTGAACTTCTAAATAAATATTCAACATTTGCTAGTTGGTGAAAATCCTCAAGGAGGCCCCCTCATAAAAAGTAAGATCTCGAAATGCATGTCATGAGTCTATCATCAGAGGATACTATATTTACAATTTTTCTTAAGTTAAATAGTTTCACTTAAGAAATAGAAGGAAAATACACCTACGGAGAACATGAAAACCAGACTTCCCACATGTCCAGTATGTTCCTTAGCCTCAGTGATAGGAAGAAAGAGACTTAATGGGAGTGGGCATACTGTGACAGTGTAAACCAAGATTGAGTCACAATAAAACAAAAGAGAAAACCCCAGATGTTTTACTCTCTGCAGGCTCTGAGAGGCCACAAGATTAGTCCTGAGAGAAACAGTTCTAAAAGAAAGATAAGCTTTATTTGCCAAAGAAATAGGATTGAGTATCAATGTCCTTTAAGTACGAGACAGTAGCGAGTGGCCACAGAAGCATCTGCTGAAGAAATGTCTCCTAACAAAGGTCAGAAGTCTTCCAACAAAGGTAAGACACTACTTGGCCTTGAAGTTGTCCAACACCACCATCACACTCCCTCATTTAAATGCTGGAAATTGAAATGTAATGCCAGGACAGATTTCTCCACCTTGAACACTGATAACATCTGTCCACCGAAATTTTTAAACTTCTTGTGAACTAGACTCTATTTTCTCTAGGTCTCACTTCTAAGTATCCTCTTCTGACACCCCTGTTGCCCCCTTGCCATTGCATCTGATCTTCTGTCACACTGAATGACCTACTGGACTACAAGTACTCTGTGACTCACCTTTCTAGGCTTGGGACCTGTGCAACCTTGGTTCTCTCTGCCTGGAATGTCCCTTCCACCTTTTGTCCTCCTCTTTCTCTGGCTACTACTGCTTAACTTTCAATATTCAATTTCACGACATCTTTCCTAGATGTTTCCTTAAACATTCCCCACTATTGGGTTAGGCAGCCCCCTGATTAATTCCCCTGGCACTCTTGCAATTAAAGCATCTATAACACTGACCCATACTTACTTACTTATTTGTCTATGTTCCCATAGGCTGGATTTACCTTGAAGTCAGGGACCACGAAAAGAAGGCAATCTATCAATATTTTTTTTAATAAACAAAGGATTTTTGCCTGTTTTTATCCCCTATACTCAGTATAATATTAGGCACAAAGTCAGCTTTCAATAATTATTTGCCAAATGGATCATCGGCACTCAAAAATATTTGTTGGATGGATATAGTGATGGGCAGATGACTAGGACATGCTACATATCAGAAATCTTAACTTCTAATATTCTACTTCATGACCTCTAAAACTCATCCTTATAGCTCTCTCAGACTCTGATTTTCTGGTCCCTGGCCTCACAGAGTTGTCCAGTCTCCTAACATCTCCATAGCCACCAAGTCTTTAAGTGCCTAGATGGTATCATTTCCTTTCCTACTCAAACTGTACCATTTTTAGTCCAAAATTTTAACCTATGCTTTCTTTAAAAAGAAAGAAAGAACCAACCCTATACAAAACTCTGTGGTCACAAATATTCTGTTGTCACAGCTACTAAGAATACTACATTAGGATAATGTCATACCACCATGCAGATGGGGCCCCATTAAAATTCATAGTCTTCAACCTCAGCTAGAACTTCATCATGCTGGTCAGTCTTTTTTAACTTGGAATTACCTCCCTCATCCATTTCTCTCTACTCTCCAATCATCACCTCTCTGCTCAGTCTACCTATCTACCTTCACTCTCTATTTAACAGATATCTTTGCTTCCCACTTTATCAGATGATTGGGGTAAGAGGGCATTCTACTCAACTCACTGCCTCCACACCAAAAGACTTAATTAAATCTATATTTATTGTCTATGACCATGCCAACCTGAATGTGCCCCATTTCATTTAATCTCAGAAGCTAAGCATGGTCAAGCCTAGTTAGTACTTGGATGGGAGACCATCTAGGAATACCAGGTGCTGTAGGTGTAATAAATAAATGAGTGAATGAATAAATCTATATTTATTCATCCCTCCTTCCTTTCTATATCAGAAAATATGGTATCTGTCCTGCAACCAGCCCTCCATTGAAGATGATTCCTTTTATCTGTGTTTTCAATCTCATCCCTTGTCCTAGGACTCCATTTTATGTATTAAAAACTCTCTCCTATCTTCAATTTCTGTCTTTTTTCTGGCTTTTCATTCTTAGCATATGGATATGCTAAATTTTCTCTCTTAAATGCTTTTTAACTCTGTATCCTCCCCCTAGCATTGACCTATTTCTTTCTTTCCCTTATCAGCCAAGCTATTTTTAGCATTATTCTTTACCTCATCATGTGCCATTTACTCAGCCAATACAATCAATCTTTTGTGGGTGATATACAGCGGGAAAAAAAAAAGAATTCTGTAACTTGAAATGTTATTGCCCTCAGGAATTTAAACTCTAAAATGACAAACAATGAATTAGCTAGAAGACAGAACAATTTTCAGAACAAAATGAGACAATAAGGTAACTGATCCATAAATTAGCTATATCCATCTGAGAGAAGGTACCTTAGCCAATGGATTTTAAGTATTTTAATTCCATAGTAAGAATTGCATTATGCTAGTACGATGTCACTTAAATTCTAGAATTTCCCTTATTTTAAATCTTCCTGATTTTATTTGGCTTCCAATGTTAAGTTGCCCCTACAGAGAGAATCTCTCATTTCAGGATTGCTTAGGACTGGAGATACAGATTATTTCCCCTGCTCAGAACTATTCCACTTCTCAGAGGACTAGATATGGTGAACTTGTAGGTTCATAATCTAATGTTAAGGGCAACACATTATTTTTAGCAAAGGAAGATAAATCATTCATTTTAACAGAGATTGTATGTCAAGACTAAAAGAAGGAATGATATATTGTTACCGTCAAAAAGTTATGTGAAGATGTAGAGGTTGCATCTTTCTCAAATATTAGAAGAGCTTTCTGCATCAAGTAAATAGCTTTGGATAGCTTATTCTTCCTTATTTTATTCATTACACTTAATTCTGAAAAAGTAAACAAACATTTTGCCAAAAGGGTAACATAAAACTATCTTCAAAAAATTTTAGAAAGATGGGTTATTCTCATTTTAATTACCTGTAAAACAATCAGTGCTTCCAGATTGTTTTAGCTTTTCTGGAATTTTGGCAGATATATTTTTGCTAACTACTGGAGTCTGCAAAACTGAAAAAGAAGATGGAGATTGCCATTACAATTAGGTTGTGTCCAAGAAAGGAAATATTTTCTAAACATTAAAGAGTAACTATTTGTAAAATTTTTGCGTCCTCTATCATATCTTTTTTTTTTTCATTAATACAAAGATATTCAAACAAATCTACTATAATGTGGTTTTATTGTCAAATCTTATATTGGCCAATTCTTGTATTTGCCACAGTACACCTGTGGAATATGAATCTCAAAACTATAAAAATGATTTTTTTTCTATGTCATCTTAAATAAAAGTATCTTGAAGACGGATAAACAGGATCCAACCTGCTTTTGTCCACTTTCCTTTTCATAAGCTTTTCACAACTGCTCTATCCATAGTCCCTGCAAGAGCTCTGGGTACCATGTAAAGACTTCCACTCTCCTCTAGCTGTGACTGATGAAATGAAGGCCTGCTTCAAGATTTTCAGCTAATGCACAAATTACTGCTAGTTGATTGTGGGCAGTGAGACATCCAGGTATACAGTTGGAACTGACCATCATTCGTGGTCCAGGAAAGAAAGGAAGTTAAATGAGGGAGAAAAGGATAAAGGTATGTATGCTGGACCAGGGAGATGAAGAATGTTGCACTGATTTTTGATTTTCCAGGTCTGGTGCTCAGGAGACCTGGCAATATTTTGTTTCTGTCTTTGGAGGTATGTGAGGGTTTCTGCAGAAACCATACAAGAAACCCCTTTTACTGAAGTTTAATTATTTGAACTAATACATGTCAGTCACGATGGGATAGTGATTGATGAAAAGATGCCAAAAGACACCATTAAAGAATATGATTTCTCTAATGGAGAAGGATAAGGGAATTTATCTGTATGGAGATAATTATCATTCTCTCGGTACCTAGGGTATTGTATATGCTAATTAAGCTATAGCTCTCATGATTATAATTACTGGAGATAAGATGGATGAGATTGCAAGAAAATTCTGAATGCTCAATAAAGATAAGTCATATTTAATGCCACTGTCGTCAACAGGCAACCATTGTAAAGTTCTTGAATAAGAATGATGAAAGCAGTTTTTAGGCAATATCAGTCTGGCAGCAGCAAACGAGAGTGAACAAAGACAGGAGGAGCAAACTGATCATCTGCGTTAGGGTGGCAGTTCAATAAAGCAGAGGAAAAATCCAAGGAAACCTAGAGATTGCAAAGGAATGATAAGTGAATATTTCATTTAAATTTAAGGGCAAGTCTACCAGTGATATCTTTAAGTGGTCTCTGATAAAAACTCAGAGAATCATTTGGCTTTCAAAGATTTACAGATGACAATTAGAGAATGACTTAGTAACTCTATGAATAAATAAACCCTACCTACGGAGAATCATGAGCTGGTTTTCCTAAAGAAAACCTGATCCATATATGCTATTTACATTTTGAAATATATTCCTGATCCAAATCTTTTTAAACTAACGTTTAAGGTTATTATTCTAAGTGACCTAATTTATGTATTAGAAAAACTTTATCAAGTTTTTAAATTTATTTATGACACAGAGATATTTTAATTATTTGCATCCCTCCACACAAAGCATGTTTCTTTAAGAAACAGTTTTTAAAACAATGTAATGTTTAAAATAAAATGTAAAAGGATAAAATTTAAAAAAGGAAATTTTATATAAATAAAACGCAAACACAAACAACTGGTCCTAAATGTATATCAAATTGGTAACGTAACCATAAAAAAATTGAACATAGTCTCTGATGTGTGATATATTCTAAATACGAAATGAACTGCAAAGAAATCCTGAATTTACTCATTAGGTTTTGTTGTTAATAGTGGCTTGGTTTAATAATTTTGAAAGTATTTTGTTAATATGGTAGGACAAAGCAAATGATTTATTGCACTGATATTGCTAGGAACCAGAGTTCTCAACATGGGAGAAGGGAAATATAAAAAGGAAATGCAGGACATTGGACTTTCAAAGTATTGGACTTTGAACTGGCAATATCAGAAAGAACTAGTGATATAAATAAGTGTATATTCTTATCTCTGTTGACAAAAAGGAGATAGTTGACATCCCAATAACAATGAGCACTCCTAACTCACAGACTTTAGTTTCTAAATATTGTTTCTTACCAAAAAGAACCAAAGATCCTTAAGAAAATGATGGATTCCAGGTCGGTCTGGGATAGATAAAGTATAAAGTAGGTCTAGAACATTTTGTTTGGCAGAAGCAAGAAATTGCTCAATGAATAATGGGACATATCAAAAGAGCACAGGATCAAGTTTAAGGCCTACCACTGGCAAAATGTGTGACTTTAAGCTTCAGAAAGAACAATGAAAATAACTGATTTTAAAAGATTTAAGAAAAAAGAAATACAGTCCATAGCGTAATTCGAAAAATTAAAAAAGAAATAGTAGGAACAATTCTTTTTTACAAAAGGATATCAGGAAATAAATGTACCAAAAACATTTCATTTAGAAAATCACCATATGATCCAGCTATCCCACTTTTGGGTATATCACCAAAGGAAATGAAAGGAAAATCTTGAAGAGATGTCTGTACTCTTATGTTCACTGCAGTAGTCACAATAGCCAAGATATGAAACAACTTAAGCATCTGCTAATGGAGCATGGATAAGAAAGATGTAGTATATATACAATGGAATATTATTCAGCCATGAAAAAGAAAGAAATCATGCCATTTGCAATAACATGGATGGACCCCGAAGGCAATATGCTAAGTGAAATAAGTCAGACATGTCAAGAGTAGTTTGAATTTATCAAAATTTAACCTCAAACAGAATAGTTTTTAGACCTAATGATATTAAATATTACTCTGAAACTCAAGTAAATATGTTATTTGTATTACCGTTGGCACCTTTTCTTAACATGTTTTGATCTCTTTACCTAATAAGGCAAGAACAACTTAGATCCAACTCTGTCCTCTGACATTGCTGTCAGAGATGTCTTTCTCAGTTTTTCATTAGCTTCCAAGATAAAATATAAACCCTCTACCCCTTCAAGATCTGCCTGTGATCTACCTCTCTAGGTTTATCTGTGTCATTCCCCAACAGTGCTCTTTACCCAGGCCATAACAGAATTCCAGTTCTTGATTGTACAATACCATTGTTTGCTTCCACCTTGCTAGAGGTTATTTTCTCTATCCAAAATGATGGCCTCCTTTCATTCTTCTTCATAAAGATAATATTTACTAGCTTTCTGGTCAATTATCACCTCTTCCAGGTGAAAGTAGTCACCCCTGACTTTCTCATCTAATATATTCTTCTGTGTGCCCATAATTAAAACTCTGAGCCCATTTATATTACATTTAATAACCTCAATTGTTATTGTTGGCTTACTTATCTAGAAGCCCAAAAGTAGAGGCAATGTCTTATTTGCACCAAGCTTAATATGGTTCCTGGATCTTGCTAGGCACCAAATATATGTTTATTTGAATGAACAAAATTCTAACAACTTAGTATATAGCTCAAACAATTTTTAAGAAGTTTAGCTATTCAAGGTGTAAAAAGATAATGAAAAGTATCTGTTGATAATAATCAAAAAACTAAGAAAAAATAATAAAATTTATCTGGAACATATCCAATTAATAAGAACATAATTTACAAAATACATAGATTCTATACTTAAATTTGTCCTAAAATTGATTCAGAACAAATTATTCGTTATGATAGCTACTACCTTGCAACTGGTCAAGAAGCACAACAGCTACTCGGTGCTGAGCTTGAATTAGTTCAAGATGCAAATCCATGATGAAATTATTAGGTGTGACTGGTTTGGAAATATCTTTATCTGTATCACAGGTGTACTTTGAAAGAGATGAAGTAAAAATAAAAAAGAAACAATTACCAACACATACTAAAAGTAGCTCTATCCTATTAGCACTAAAGTTATCATTTTATTCTTAGTCGTTAAATTTTGCTCATTTCTAAACCCTTTGCAATCTGGCTTACACACAAATAAATCTGCTTTTCAAATTCCTCTTCAGTGACAAATTCAAAGACTCCTCACTCTTCTTGATTTCTTCTGGGAAGAGGGGAATGAATATACTCCTAGCTTATGAGAGAGAAGTCACCACAAAGCATGCTTTATTTATCTACTTGCAAGCCAGCCCTTGTCCTAATTAACTAAAACTTTAATATAAGAGTTTCCCATTCTTACCTTGGCATAATAATGATCAATCACTGATGATCCATTTGGCAAAGTAGTTAACATGCAATGGAAATTTATTCCACCAATTGCTTTGTCAAGAAGTTCGTAAGCCAAATATAACTGTTCCAAAGGTTTTTTCTAAAGTGATTTTATAAACAAAGAATTAAAATTAAAATTAAGAGAAAATTATATGAAACATTTCTAAACTTCTTTTAATAATTCAAAACCAAATAACAAATTTAAATAGTCTATCCAATGTCAACAATATTATATTTCTTGCTAAGTGTATTTGTCTTTGATTAAATATAGAGTACTATTAATAAAGGTTATATAATAAATACATTTCATCATTTTTCCAAATATTAATTAAACTTTTCACAAAATCTTTTATGGTTTTCGGAATTCTGATTATACCAAATGTGTAGGTAAATTTTTAAAATATTACTCATTTGTCATTTTCATATACTTTATTTTGAAAGTTAATTTTTTTAAATCTCAGAATCTCTGAGCCAGAAATTCAGACTTAGAGACCCAATGATCTACATTGTGATTTTCAAAAACTAAATATTTTTAATGTAATTATTCTACATAGAGACAAATAGAGAGAATAACGTAAGCGCAACCAGCTTTGTTCAAACTTTCTAATTTTCCACATTTTCTCCAGAAAAAATTTAGGAAATTTCCTATCCACAATGACTTTCCTCTTCTCTGTCCCTAGAGGTAGCCATTGTCTTTAAATCTGGTTTTACCATTCTTTTGTGTGTTTTTAAACTTTACTACATGTGTCTGTTAATGATATGTAATATTGCTTTGCATATTTTTAATTCTCTCATAAAATTCTACAGTTTGCTTTTTTTCACTCAATCACATGTTGCTGAAATTTTTCATGCTATAGAGAAATCCTGACTGACACTGAATGTATCAGTCAAGGTTTGGTTTGAAACACAAAATGACTAAATATTCCAAGCAAACAGGAATGTAATACACAGAGCTAGAGGAGTCTATCACCATTGGAAGGCCTGGGGAGCAAAGGTCAAGAAAGCTGCCATTGATATTTTGCAGCATGCAGCAGCCTCTGAGAATCTAAGAATCTAGGAGGTGGGTGACAACAACCTAAAGAAAGTGAATTACAAGAGCTTGCCCATCAGGGCTAGTCAATTCACATCTTCCATCTGCCACTGCAGACTAAGAACTTTCTTTTTCTTCCTGCATTACAAATTCATGCAAATGCCTCTCATTAGAAGACTAACCTAGAGCCATATGGAAATAAAATGCTGGGAACTATAGTTCCAGGTTTTCTCCCTGTAAAGCAATAATGGCAAAGATACCAATATGACTCTAGTTCAAGCCCACCCTAGTTCATTCATATTCACAGCTACAGTGAATTGTTGTTACCTAAGAAATATGTCACAATTTATTATCCACTCTTCTGCTGATGGACATTTAGACTGCTGTTATTAAAACAGTGCAATGCATTGTACTTGTCTGTGAATAAATATAAGGTTGATACTTCATTTACAGTTCTCAGACCTTTTTTTTTTTTTTTTTTGCTTTCTTTTTGTACTCAGTATTCTAATACCTCTAGGACATGTTGAACAGAAGAATGACAGATATTCTTATGTTGTTACATCAGTGTAAAGGGACTGCTTTTAATTTTTACCATAGGTATAGCACTCATTGAAGGTCTTCAGATGATACCCTTTATGGGATACAGACGTTCTCTTCTATTCCTAACTTGTTAAGAGTTATATTTCAAAAAGATAGTTGTTGAATTTTGTCAAATGTTTTTATTGCATCTCTTTATCTCGTGAGGTGGTCATATTTTTTTCCTTTCATCTGCTAATGTGGTATATTGCATTATACATTTTTCTAATGTTAAATCATCCTTGTATTCCTGGAATATACACAATTTGATTAAATATATCCATTCAAGATACAT